GGCCTCTCAAATTATTGTTGGATCAGTTATGAATGTACCCCTATCCAAATTGGATCCAATCTCTCTTGCATTCCTATCAAATTGGAGCCAGGTCCCACACTACATGTAACTCTTATGTAGGCATGTGTTTGAAGGATACATCATAAGGGTAAATAATAGAATACCCCAACCATAATTCTTTATCACAAGAGTTAGAAGCAATAAAATGAGCTACCTTGTTTGAAAGGAGGGGAACTGGTAGCAGAACTTGAAATGCAATATAACAGATTCTTTTCCCAGCATTTTGGCCTTTCGCAAGCCTCAGAGAACTGCTTGTGCTTCAGAAAAAAGGAGACTGTGGCATCAATGAGGGTGACGGGATCTGCTCTTTACAAATGGGCGTCTCACATGCGCATCCCCCATGTATTAGGAACATCTCTCATGAATATTTATTAATAAGTACGGGAGATGTTCTTAATGCATGGTAGGATGTGCGTGTGAGGCACCAGTGAGGCGCCAGGTGTGAGGAGCAGATCCGGTCTCTCAATGAGGTAGAAGAAGTTGCCAAAAACTTCTTGATTAGATAACCCATTATATATGTATGTATCTGCAATAAATCATGTTACATTTCATAGATAAATAAAAGGGTAAATTATAAAGACCCCCCTGTACTGTGGGGTTATGGACAAATACCCTTGAATTTTTATGTTGTGAAAAATGCCCCCTTGGCCGTTAAATCAAATAATGGAAGATGTTAAATTATCAAAATATCCCAATAAACTTTTCAAGTTTTCTTTTTTCTTGCCATTCCCTCTTAAAACCTAGCTGACCCAAAATAGGAGTCCGGATCTCCTATGCAATCCTCCGAGTTTCCTGTACATCAAATTAGAGTGTGTCATATCAGCACTCGCCTATTCTGATTTTAATATATTAAAATATTATGACATAAAAAACAGGAGTTCCGACTTCTAACTTCCAACTTCTGACTCTCATTATAAGCTGAATACTAAGCCGAAAAGACCTCGAATAGGAGTTCCGACTTCTAAGAAAAGAACGCCTGAAGCTGAGACACTCTTTATAAATTTTACTTCCTTCCACCCAAATGATTTTGTTAGCTCAAACTCTAAAATGCCTGTCTGAATCCAACTTCATGTATTGATCATTGATGACGCAACAGGCACGGGTATATAAATATCTGCAGTGTTTGGGTCAGTAGACTTTGAGTACAAAGCCAAACTTCCATTCAAGAATCTCACATAGCTCAGTTGTTTGTTCCCTGTGGAGGATTGGACTCGACAAGAGCAAACAAACTTTCTTAGTAACAACAAGTGACAAAACACGATTCCAATTGATAATCGTGTAAAAGTCAGCGAGTAGTCGCAGCTTCAGGTGTTCAATTTTGGAAGACGGAAGTCGCAGCTACAAATGATTCTAAGTAATACAGCTGTGGGTACTGAAACGAAGGCACTCCTTCATGATGGTCATTAGGGTTGTTCACAAAAAAAATTCAAATCGATCAATCCGGCTCGATTCAACTTGATTTGATTGGTTTTTCTTTATCATTAGCCAGTTTTGGGTAGGAAAGATGGGTAAATCGATAATTCGGTTCAGTTTCAGTTTTTCATGTATTATCTATAAATATATTCTCACTAAAATATTATATATAATATGTATATTTCGAAATATATATTTCTGTTTTAAATATATTCTCACTGAAATATTATATATAATATGTATATTTCTGACATATATATATATATATATATATATATATATATATATATTTACAGCTAAAATATATATTTCGGAAATGTATATATTTAAACTAAAACCGACCTAAACTGATCAGGTTGGTTTTGCTTAATAGAGGGTCAGTTTCAGTTTAATCTTTAAGTAACTCGACCAAGTCGGGTCAGTTGAAAAAAAACTAGTAAATTGACCCAACTCCAGCCATGAACAGTCCTAATGGTCATGATGTAATGGGGGATATGGATGACATACCTACTTTTCTTTCCTCTGATATGGACCTTACAAAATTCGCTGTCTACATTGAGTCATTACATTAGATTGTAAAGAGGACTCTTTCGGCAAGGGGTTGGGACTAGTGGTGTTTGGTTTGAAGGAATAAGTAGTGAAAGGTAGAGAAAGGGTGAGCAAAAAATGAAAAACCAAACTGTTCAAAAAAATTGATCAAAATTAAACTGAAAAATCGATTAACTGAATTAGTCGATTCGGTTTCAGTTTGGTGTTTTAAGAAGGTACCGGTTTGGTTTTAGTTAACCAATACAGAAAACTGGTGGTTAACTGAACCAACCGGTATACATATATTTTTATATTATATATATATTATATTTTTTATATATTATAAATTTATAAATATGCATTATATATTTATAATATATTATTTATTATTTATTATTTAAAATAAAATATTTTATTTATATTTATAATTTTTATTATATATTTATTAATTTATATATATTTTTATAATATATATTGTAAAAATGAAAAAACCAAAAAACCGATGAACAAAACTGATGGTTAATTGAACCGGTCAACCGATTAATCGATTGGCTTCGGTTCAGCTTCAATTACCAATTTTTGGAAAACCAATAATATCGATTCAATTACAAAAAAAAAAAGCCCACGAATCGATTACACCCCAAAAACCTATACAAGATTTATAGGTTTCCCTACCTTTTCCTTGAAACCAAACATAGCCTTAGATTGTAAAGAGGAAGAAAAAACGGACTGCTGCTTTGTAAGTGGAAGGGTGACAGCTTCTGGTAATCTCCATTAGTATTTTCTTGGTGCCGCCCATGTCATCCAATGCTTCAGGATCAGCTGAAAACCATGGAATTACAACTTACCGAGTACAAAACAATACTTGAAAAAAAAAATGAAAGAATTTACGACATAGAGATGTGCAATTTGGTACATTTGAAATTCTGCTAAAAAATAGAGAATTTACCATCAAACAAAACATACAGAGGTACAAAAAATAGGAAAAACTTATAGCTCCATAAAAGGCGTCTGACACTTCTATTTCCACCATCCTCCTCCAACTGATGAAGATATGCTTTAAATTTAAAGTCATCACCAATTCTTGTAATTTAGAGATGTACGTCGCATCGGTACTCTGTATTGATCTACAACGGTAAAACCCCATATGCTATTGTTGTAGTGGTATTGTTATCCCTTTTCATTTTCTCCTGCACATATTGCCTAATTAGAACATGCTATCAATATGTAATATCTCTTCTCTTCTTATGATTACTTATACACCTATTCCTTTGCATTTACTTCACGATCATTTGAAACAAAAATAGTTCGTTGTGGTCCTGCCCTGCAGTTTGAGCAAGTGAATTGGTTTTGTTTACCCATCGAATCTTAAGCTTATCCCGGAGCTTCTATTTCTTTATTTAAGTTGGTATCGGTTTTTACTTTTGTCCTTCTTTCAGAAAATTTTCTCATCCTCTTCTTCAAAAGAAGACCAGAAATAAAGAGCAAACATGGGAATAGAAGTACGTTAGAATATTTCTCTGGTTTATTGAGTAGTGTTCACAAATAAAAGAAAAAGAAGCAGTTGTGGACTGTGGAGCTTAAAGTCCGGATGGACTGTGAGGGTTGTGAATTCAAAGTTAGAAAAGCCTTCTCTTCTCTCATTTTTCTCTACCTCTCACTCTCTTCTTCCCTCCTTTCCTATGTTTCTCTTCCAATCCAATTCTCTACAATGGAGTCAACTAGCATCATCATCCATCACTTTAGTCCCAGGGCAAGCATTCAAATAGGAATGGTACAAAGTGTAAAAAAATAAGATGATTTTATAAATTAAAAAAAGAAATAAAATAAATTAGAAAAGTGTAGTTTGGGCATTTATAAAACTTTAAACAGTCAGATAAAAATCTTTTTTGAAGTTAACTAAGAGAATGCTAACAAAAGGGGGTTTTTGTCTAACTGTCAAAGTTTAGGGGGGTCTTTATCACAAAAAAAAAGTACAGTCTTTGTCACTAACCCCATAGTACAAGGGTCCTTGTAATTTACCCTAAGACCTTGTTCATTTGTAACAGTGCAGCTTATCTGTGTAAGTGCACATTAGGATTCCCAGATAAATAATAAGATGACATTTCTACCCACAAAAAGTAACTATTAAAACTAGTAAAATGGTCCCATCATGTTTTGTAAAATAATTTCTCCCAATTGAGAAAATTACTTACCCACTAGGGAGATGGATAAATTTTACCCAAGAACTAAGGGTAACTTTATTATGAGGCCCATTGCTTAATGCAAAAAGAACATAGAAAAATTGGTTAATAGGAAAAGTTGCCCATTAACAAACTTTCTCATGCATATTTACCAGCAAACGAACAAGGCCTAAATAAAAGGGTAAAATACAAAAACCTCCTATGAGATTTTTGACAATCATAAAAACCTCTCCTTAAGTTTTATTTTAACAACAACCACTCTTGAGCTTTTGAAAAACTGAACATATACCTCCCTTCCATCACTAAGCCACACAAAAAACGTTAGAGTGATATGCTATTTTTTTAAATACTTATATTACCGTTTTTTATATGATTTCATATATAATTTTACTGGTGGGTCTGATGGCCGGAAAATAAAGCATTAGCTCTCCTGGTGAAGATTCCGGATAAAGAAATTCAACGCCACCAAAACCATCCCCGTCAAATTGATATGTAACCCAACAATTCAAATATTTCCATCTCTCTACCGATATTGAGGCTCTCGAAGAAATTCACAAAAACAATAGTACATTTCACTCATTAACAATTTTTCTTTGCTCTTTATTTTTTGGGTTTCTAGCAGATAAAGGGCAACTTTTTGTCCTTAATATCAATAAAAAATAATATTTTTATATAATAAACAAAATGGGATAGCTTTTTTGGAAAAATATCAAGAAAGGCAATGGATAATGTTGCTCGTCTTCCTCCTCTACCTTTGTATTCATGCAATGGAACTTTTAAACATTGATGAGAGAAAACAGGAATCCTTGTGATAAATCACCAAATTTTTCTCATGTGCACAGCCGAAAAGTCTATATAATCGATATGAAATGCATGCTTACACTTGGGAAGCAGCCAGAGGATCTTGATGTCCTCGAATTTCGATAGACAGGCGACACATTTAAGGCCTTCCCAGGACTCCCTGAGGGATGAGAATCTAAAGAAGAGAAGTGAGTCGATTATGGTTTTATCGATTCCAGAAAACCGTGACCTTGTTCGGAATAGACCTCGATGTTGGCGGCGGTCGAGTTCATTCTCGTTATCTCCTCCAGGGTTAAATGGATCGAAAGCGAGAAAATGGCAGAACTTAGCGTAGACAAGAACAAGAAATGTCAAAGAGAACATGGTGGAGAGGATGGCGGTGACGACGGCGAGGCTTGGGTGGAACACCATGATGGCATCGGGTGGGGATGAGTCCTCCGCTCATGTCCTGTTTTAAGCATCGACATGGGCGAACAAGAGAAGGAAGAGGAATGAAAGGAACAATGGATTCATAAGGAAAATGATAGAATATATGTCCGGAATTTTATGATCTTCCGACAAGCATTGCAGACTGCAGAGGTTTAGTGAGTCCTTGGAGATGGAGACTTGGATACGGCCGCCATTTGCTTTCTAGGATGTGAAGAGCATTTCCAGTTTTTATACTTTGGAGAAGGGTTTCCGTCCCTCGAATCTAGGGGAGGAATTGGTGGAGTTTGGACACAAACTTTAGAGACTACCAAACTCCAAACACCAAAGCTTGCCTATGAATTCTCATTTTTTGCATGGCCATCTACCATAAAAGAAGAGTTTCCCAACAACAACCAGATCATAGAGTATCTTGATTTGTATGCCTGGGAGTTCAACCTTCTTCGCCATATCAAGTTCAATTCCAAAGTCAATGGCATCGACTACATATGTGTTTGGTTCTGTTGGCATTTATTGAAAAAATGCCGCCACATCAACACCACATAGGTATTGGGTGTTTATTGCACGTGAAGCAAAATGAAACAACTTTTTGGTTTCACCATTTATCAAATAAATGGTAAAAAATTGAAACACTTTAATTTTTGTACTTGGGACATTTGGGAAAACACCAAATTCTTATTTCCCCCAATGCCCCAATGTTTCTTGAAACCAAATGCTAATGTGCTACACTTTAATGGTATTAATCTGAGGTGGAGAATAAAAAACGTTTAAAGTAAAGTCCAACCAAACAACAAAACTAGGAAACATTAATAAACGTTTAAATTAAAAAGGCACAAACGAGGGAGTTTCTACAATTCTCTCCCGAGAAAGACGAGCAAAAATATGCATTGCCCTTTCTTGATATTTTTCTAAAATAGATATTTCATTTTAATTATTATATAAAAATATTATTTTTTATTGATATTAAGGGCAAAAAGTTGCCCTTATATGCTACAAACCCTTATTTTTTTACATTGGATTAACAGAGCACCTATTCCTTTTTGCAAATGTGACTCAGAATGTAAAGTTGCGCACGTTGTCAAATTTGTGAACATGAACACCATCTCCAGTTCTCCACGATAGAACAGTACTTACGCTTCATTATTTCTGGTTTTCTTCTGTACATTTCAATGAGGTAGCCTGGGGAGGGGTGAGGTCCAAATAAGACAACTGCTTAGGAAACCAAAGTGGTTTCGGTTTTGAGCTCCGCCCATAGGTGACCACCTCCTCCCCAACTCTACGCCTGTGCTCAAATTAGATTGGAAATGCGGCAATCTATTCGGCAGACTTCAAATTGTCATTGCTACTTCATGCATGAGAAACCCGATTCATCGTTCTCCGTTTATCCCTTCTCTTCTCTTCCTTGTTTTCCACCTCTTCTCCACTTTTGCAACTTCAACACCTCGGGATTCCTTGAATAGAGGATCCTCTGTCGGTAGGAGATTATGCATCGGATTTCCTTACCTCGCCAGACAAATGGTTCACTTGTGGATTTTATCTTGTTAGGACAAAGGTCTTCAGTTTCTCAATTTGGTTCACCAGTGTAACTGATAAAACCATTGTCTGGATGGCCAATCGAGATTCGAGACCATCCCGTCAATGGCCAACGCTCCAAAATTTCTTTGCGCAAGGACGACACCATGGTTCTCACCAATGCCGACAGCTCCATCGTCTGGTCCACCGACAGCACTGGCAACGGATTCAAAGTCGAGTTCCTCAACACGGGGAATCTTGTCCTGAGAGACTGTCACGGTAACTTATCCCGGCAAAGCTTTGATTCTCCTACTGATACTCTTCTCCTTTTTACAGTCCCAAATGCGGGAAGAGCAGACATATCTCTGCCAGATGTTCATTAGGAAGTTTCGGTTGCCCGGCGATTCCAACGTGTCGACCATCTCGACAAATTGTAAAAACGAGGTTCTCACCGTCACCGTCGAGTTCAAATTCATGGCATGGAGACGGTGTGCAAATCCGTAATGGCAAAGTTGTACCTCACACAGTCCTCATCTGATTCATCCACTGATACCGCCGGTCTACAACATCTTTAATGTCGGTTGCTTCATTGTGGTGAGGAGGATCATAGACGGCACCGGGTCTCTACATCCACAACCTTGACCAGGAGAGCCGCCGCTTTTTTGTCCGGCCACCAGAGCCGGACAAAAACTAACTGACCAATAAATTGAAATCACAACGTGGAAGTAAATAAGGTGTTATCAAAATTCTTTTTATATCGTATTTTTTCTGTAAAATGGGAAAATCTATAATGTAGAAAAAATATGGTATGAAAAGATTAAAAATATATATAAAATTATAAATAAGAAGGTAAAACAAGTATTTTTTAAAAAATAACATATCAATCAAATATTTTTCGTGTAGTTTAATAACGAAAAGAAAGCTTATGTTGAATTTTCCAGAAGTTAAAGAAAGATTTTTATTAAAGTAAGATTTGAGAGATTTTTATGATTTTCATAAATCTCAGGGGAGAGGTTTTGTATTTTACCCAATTAGAGAGGGAGTGGTGGAGCGGGGTACATACATATCAATGTCAAATGATGTTTATGTATTACTGTAATAAATGAGTACAGGGATGGATTTCTTTACTTAATAAATGATGATAGGCTCCATAGCTATAACCACAGCCACAATGTTTCAATTAAATAGAGAAAACGACTGAAAGGCCCGGCAAAAAAAGTTACCCTAAATATTCGTGCCGGCGATAAAAATCATATTAACATGACGAGAGCACAATAACCATCCGTACACCGCCTTCTTTCCGGCCACAAACGTAACCATCCGTACACCGCCTCCTCTCCGGCCACAAACGTTATCATACTGGTTCAAAGAACATTTCTCCAGATATTAATATTGTAGATATTCCCGATGTGCGGTCAATACATGATGTAAGATGGTGTGGTGATGGATCTGTGAAGAATAGATTGGGATTAAAGGACGAAGACAGAAATTGAGACCACGGAGTTGCAATCCGTATGGTGGGACCACCCACGTGACACTGAAAAGCAACGATATGGAAAGGTCACGTTGTAAATGGGGAAGATTCCTCGCCAGACAAATGATGCAGTTGCAGTGGACTAGTCGAGTTCCTCATCGGGAAAGGTCACGTTGCAATGGAAAGGTCACGTTGTAACTAGTCCACTGCAACTGCATCATTAATTCGAACCGGATCTGGATCCATTCCCGATGTATAGCAGATTAGCAGTAATACTCTCTTGATGTGCTCCTCACAGAAGGCTACTCATACCAACCTTCGCACTAACTTTACAAATGCCTCCCAGTGGTACATTGGGACTTTGGTATTTTGTGCTGTTATTCATAATGAGATATTTTCAATACACTGTGAGATGGAGCTGTAAAGGGAGTGTGAGCAGCAAATCCCAATCGATTAATTATGAATGGATTAGGTAATACAAGTTCAACAATGCTTTTTTATCATTCCTTTTTTTAATAATGGTCGGGTCATCGAGCACTCAAGTCATTCCTTTTTATGATAATTGTTGGGTATATTTGAATCAACGTATAGTGGAATCTAATCTAATAGTGTTTATGTCAAATCCGGTCCAATCCGAACATTCAATTGGATTTAATAGAATTCGATTTGAATTTAAATCTTATTGGTAAATCGGATTTTTGCATCCGATTCATTTTCTTTAAAATTAATAAATTATTAAAAAATAAAAAAATATACTAATTTATAAAAATATATTTATAAATAAATAACATATGTAATATGTATTGGATCGGATCTTTTCAGATCGGATAGGAGTAATCTGCATCGTTCTGATTTCTGATCAGATCATATTATTCGATCAGATTCAAAAATCCGAACAAGGGTGATCTGAATTCAATCAAATAGGATTGGATTCATTTGCACTCCTAATTATATATATGGCATCTTTAACGGCTTTGGATTCAAATATCCAGTTCAGATCAGATTGGATTCAAGATTTATATTATTGATTCAGTTTCAAATATACCCTGATTTGAATCCAATCCCGATCCATTTGCATCACTAGAGAGAGAGTCATCCCTTTTGCATGAAAATGAATCATTTATATATGAGGGAGTTTCTAGAATCTTGTTGTAAATGATGTCTAGACCTACTCATGGGCCGGGTAGCTTGATGGCCCGGCGGGCCTGACCTCGGGCCTAGCACAGTAAGTCCGACTGTGTTTCGGACCGGGCTCGAGATTTGTCAAAAAAGTCCGGCCCAGCCCGACTCAACATTATATATTTTACAAAATACATAATATGTATTTTATATATTATATAAAATATATAAATAATATAATATTTATTGAAATATATATTTATAATGTAATATATACATTTTTTATTTTTTTCTTTATAATTTCTCTCTCTCTCTCTATTCAACCGCTTTAGTAGTAGTAACAGCATGGGCTAAATTTTGGGCTCGGGCCCAAGCCCAGGCTTCGGGCTTTTTATGAGGGTCGGGCTTGGGCCCAAGTTGTAGGTCCGATGGTCGGGCTGGACTCAGGCTCGGGCCTTAGAAAAATCTGTTAATACAGAGTGAAAGCCCGGCCTGAGCCCGGCCCATGAACAAGTCTAATGGTGTCGCATGTTGTGGTGATAGTCTTATATTGTTCCTACATTACTGTTTGGTAAGTTAAGTTAGAATGGGTTTGTGGAGGTTCAATGTCCATACTCTTACACAATTACAATACAATGAAAGCTCCGAATGAAATGCATTAAGCAGATGCATAGAAGTCATTCCATCTTCTCAGATGCATAGAAGTCATTCTATTTTCCCAATTTTTGGTACAAGTAAATTGAAATTTTGATGTGTTTTTTATTGAACTGCTTTGAATAAGCCACTAAGGGGGCATTCTTTTTCTGGATTTTGAGAGGGGAAAGTTGGTCAATGTGATTTTGATTCCCATTGACCAAAAATCCCATGTTCTTTTTTCAGA